CTTTTGCTTTGTCTTATTGTACCTTGTTTTGTTCTGTTAAAAAAAGGAAGGAAGGTGATCTGCCATGTCTTAGCATTAAAATGGTATTAGGTATCGGAGTGAGGGTTATGTTCCCTTATTGATTCCATTCAATGTCACGTCATTTGGAATTCACCGTGTATCCTTCTACCCCCAAACACACCAAGTAATACTACTGTGCTTTGAAGTTTATCTTCAATATGGAAGTAATATTGTTCTCATAATAAATCTTCATTATAATTTTTAAAATGAAAGAAGGAAGGAAAGAAAGAAGGAAGGAAGGAATAGATGTAAAAATTCTCAATAAAATGCCTTTAAATGAAAAATATTAACTGGTAGATATGGAAAGAAGAAAAGATGTATCTGAGCAGGAATGGCAGACACCAGGGTTTTTTGCACACTTTACATAGACACGACACATAGAAAACCATAAGGAAATATCTGCACAGCAGCCTATTCAAAGGCAAAGGGTGCAGACCATGCACAATGTCACCAGAACTGAGATTAACCTAGGAATAATCTAAATAATCTCTAACCAAAGTATCAATTCTACGTGAACCTTTCAGACACTGTTCTTCCAATTGATTGAGTTTTTGAGTTTCTGATTATCACCCAATACCACAAAGTCAGCTTTTGCCAGAGTCTGAAATATCATTCCTCAAAATCACATTAAGACACAATTTGCTATATGTTCATGAGTAAATTTTTCATGTTGTAATGAGATACTTGATAAAACTGTCACATCAAAGAAATCTGAAGTTGAATAATAGACTGAAAAAAAACAATCCCTAAACAAACATTAATCACACTGTATTTGTATTATGTGAAATAAAAATAATAGCAATCAAAGCTCAGACAGATTTACACAAAAATGAGTTCTTGTAAATATGTTTCTCAGCTCCATAGCTGTAAGCATGTCTGACATTAATATCTCTCTGAGTACTGTGAGAAGCACTCCTTATTAAAGAATACATCTAACTTTATCTCCCGCGAGGGAAGCTGATTCCACTGGGAAAATATCATCTCAGTCACTTTCTTCGCCAGGTTCACATCATTTTATTAATGTACACATTTCAGAGAATCTTTTCCATTAGGAAATAATTATTGTAAACTGTGCTTCCTTCATGGTTTGAGAAATCTCATAAACTCTTGGACTATATGGATAAAACCTTTTCATTAAGGAGTTACTTTGAAAGCATGCAGTTTGTGTTTTTTTTTTTTTTACAAGTATCTTACATTGCAAGACAAAAAACATAACAAGATGAACTTAAATCATTTTCTTCTTTTCTTTTGTTTTGTTTTTAGAGACAGGGTTTCTCAAAGTAGGCTTGGCTGTCCTTGAAGTAGCTCTATAGACTGCATTGGCCTTGAATTCACAGAGATTTGGCTGGCTCTGCCTCCTGAGTGCTGGGATTAAAGGTGTGTGTCACCACCTTTTTATATACTTGTGTTATATAAACCCAAACAAAATATTCTAGACTAAGTTTTATTATTGATATTAAAGTGAACAAAGGTATAAAAGTGTCATTAATATTGCGGATTAAACTAAGGCTATTTGATTTATAACACAAATAACTAAATCTTTGTTTATTTAAGATCTTACTCTGACCAATCATATATCAAATCAATGCTTTTCTGAGTTTACATATAAAATATAACAAAAGATTTGGTAAAGTGATTTGAATTCAGTTATTAACAGAATATAATGCAGTCTTAAGAAAATTATTTTAATTTTTTATTTAGGATCCTATGTAGTTGAACATGTGATATCCTGTACCAAGTTTTGTCCCAGGTCAGCATTTCACACACCATGGCATACTTAATAGCGAACAAATTAAAACTAGTAAAATCACACTCTAGAATGTTATCATCACTGCAAGATTCTGACCTTTCCCATAATGGCCCAGTCTAATTTCACATCCACACTCAATGCCTGCTTATCCCTAAAATTTACTCAATGTGTTCTTTATATTTCAAGAACAGTATGTACATGAAAATGTTCTATGCACAACATATGGGATGGGATCTTCTATTACATGCAGCTCCCTGGACAGTTGTAGTGCTTGTTACTGGTCACAGTGTTGTTCCTTTTTATTGCTGAGTCATAGCATGTAGTGTGCATTCTGTTTTATTATTGACCTGTTACAGGATATTAAACTACTAAACTTCTGTCCATAGGATTTTGTATGAATACAAGTATCACTTGCTGAATGATAAATGCACCATAATCCAAGCATGGTATGTAGCTGAAGTTTCTCTGGTCCTACCTGAGCCCTGCAGTCTCATTGCCTGTTTATAAAATAATCACACAGAGGCTTAATATTAATTATAACTGGCAGGCCATTAGCTCAGGCTTACTACTGACTAGCTCTTACACTTTAACTCAGCCCATTTCTGTTAATCTATATGTTGCCACATGTTCTGTGACTTTACCTGTGTGTCATTACATGCTGCTCCCTGACTTAGCTTTCCTCTTCCCAGAATTCTCCTTGTCGGCTTATCTGGCCTATACTTCCTGCCTGGCTACCGGCCATTCAGCGTTTTATTAAACCAGTGTACAAAAGCATTATTCCACAGCAATGGTAGAACGTGTATATTATATAATCCCATTATGAAAGAAAGAAAAGCAAGAGGATATTAGGTTAGAAGTATCCTGATTCTATATCAAACAACAAAAATTTGCTCAAGATTGCAATTGACATATCATGGTAGTTACATGAAAGTTTTCAAATTGTTAAAGTATTTTCCAAGAGACTATGCTGTTTATATTCCCACCATCAGCGTGTGAGAAAGCCTCTGTCTGCATCATCACCAGCATTCTGCTTTGTTTTCTTCTTTTGTGGCATTGAGCAAATTCTCATGTGAGTATTTGACACAAGTGTATCTTGCTTGATATATATATATATATATATATATATATATATATATTACAATACTATTCAGTTCTAAATAATAGCCACAGATTCCCTTGTTCTCTCCCTTCCTGCCCCCCTCCCCTTTCCCCCAGCTCACCCCCCATTCCCACCTCCTCCAGATTAAGGTCTCCCCCGAGGACTGGGATCGAAAGAGGCCCACAGAAATCCACAAAGATACCCCCACAAAAGACTACTGGCAATGGTCCAGAGACAGCCGGGACTGACCTACTCTGGTGATGGGATGGCCAAACACCCTAATAGTTGTGCCATAAACCCATCCAAGGACTGAGGAAGCTGGATGCAAACAACCACGGCTAGGCCCCGGGTGGAGCGCTGGGAGTCTAATTAGTGAGAAAGAGGAGGGTTTATATGAGCGAGAATTATTGAAACCAAGGTTGGATAAAGCACAGGGACAAATAACCAAATGAATGGAAACACATGAACTATGAACCAAAGGTTGAGGGGGCCCCCAACTGGATCAGGCCCTCTGAATAGGTGAGACAGTTGATTGGCTTGATCTTTTTGGGAGGCATCTAGGCAGTGGTACCAGGTCCTGGGCTCGTTGCATGAGTTGACTGTTTGAAACCTGGGACTTATGCAGGGACGCTTGGCTCAATCTGGGAGGAGGGTACTGGACCTGCCTGGACTGAGTCTTGCTTGATATTTTTCTCTCAGCCAAGAAAAGGTAACACTCCCCAATCACCTTTACATTTGAGTTTGTAGAATTCAGTTACTTTTGAAGTTTTTTGTGTTAAAGTGGTTACTCAAAAGTTTCTATATAAACAACAAGTGTATAATAGTCTAACATGGATACTTGAAACAATTATTTTAAATATGCATATCTTTCTTACTTTGACTATTTTTTTTATTTGTCTAGATACTTAAGTACTATATCAAAAATAATGTAAGAGACCAAACATATTTAATTTTCTCTTCATCTTAGAGAGAAACAATTATTCATGAATGATAAAGTATATTTCTGTTTTTTATATGTATTTTAATCAACTTTCACTTGTGTCCTACTCTTATTTTTTATGCTTTACTTTTTATTAAAAATGAATATTACATTCTATAAAATGTTTCCTCAACCACTTAATATAGTCCCAAGATATTTTTATGTTAAAATGGTAGATTACAATGTCTAACTTGTGATCTCAAATAAGTTGGAATCCGTAATTTTATATGGTCATTACTTTTATTCATTTCTTAATTATTTTTCACAGGATTAAGGATTTTTTAAATTTCATAATCATGGGCAAAATTGACATTGAATTTTTACTTTTGCTTTGTAGTCACTATCTAGTTTTGATGGGACAAAATTAGCTTCATTAAAATAAAGAAATTATTACTTCCTCTTATATTTCTTGTAAAAGTTTAAGTGGACTATCAATCCTCTACATATCTAACACTACATGGAATTAGTAGTAAAAAAATATTCAGGCTTAAAGAATTATCTTGCAGAATATTTTAATTATAGATTCATGAGATGTTAAACCACAAATTCTGTTTCTAGATTTTAACTTAGGCTTTGACCATTTTCCCACCACAACATTTTCATTGTCAAATATTTTCAAATTTTAATCTTTCCTCCTAATAATGTATTTCCTCTTTATATGATAATATATGTCAAAGTATAAAATATAGTTCTATGACAAATTTTCATCATTCCTTGTTACTTTCATTCAATATTGGTTTGAATTATGGAGTTCAGCCATTATTAATGTTGATCTGGTTGTTTGAAAGCTCAAGGCCATATTTAATCCTCAATTATAGCAAAATGTTCTCCTATATAGACTCATTTTCATCATCCTTTTAAAGTAATAGCCCAGTTTCTGAATATATTTTATCACACATAGTGACTGGACACCATCTTCTTATGAGTAAAGGAAAGAAATAATATATACTCTAAGTTATTTCAGATGTCAGATGTCTTGTTTTATTCAGATCCTTGTCAGTAAGAATTTTAAGAAAGTTGTGATTAGGGATGTACTTGACAGTTATGAGAATGGCCAAAGACCTTGAGGTCCATTATATTGATGACATACATATTGTCTCCTTTAAACTCCCAGAAGCCGCCTGTGTGTCAAAGCCTAGAAATGCCCCTATGAAGACCAGCTTTGAGGTAATATCTTGAGTACCAGGTAGTAACTACAACAAATTATAGGCAACTTTGTATTTGTACCTCTGGAAATACACTTTACGGGACTCAACCCTTCTATATTTTATGTCTGAAACATTGTATATTATAATGTAGTCTTCTAACTCACAAGTCTTTATTGTATATGGTTTTGCTGCTAACAAAATCCAATATCTCATAAATAACAGAAAAGATATGCATGTTTATTTATATACATGATTCTATGACATGTATATTCATGATTTGCTTAAAAGGAAAACAATTCTAATTGTTTATATTACAGTACCAGAAAAATTACTAAATGGGGTGAGCAAATAAATATAAATAATAAGCAGATAATAAAATGTACAGTGAGAAATACCAATAACACCACTTTCTTCCTCTTAAAATAAGTAACTATTCCTCTCCCAAAGTACAATATCCTGTCACCAAAATCATATTTATGACACAACTAAGTTTTCCTTCATGTTAGATGCAAAGCACCCATGCTCATCAATTGAAAATATATATCAAGGATTATTTGTCTTAACTGTAATAACAAAATTGTGGTTTGTCACAACAAGATTCCTATTACACTGGAGTTATTAGCAATGTGTGAGAATGCTGCTAACGTGTAAACAAAACTCACATAATATCTGAAATTATCAGGTGCTATTTGTTCTTTTTGTTGAATTATTTTTCACTGATATTACTGATGTTCTTCCATGGCTTGTTTACACGTAAATTCTCAACCCGTGCTTGTACTGTAATTATTTACATATGATTCCACAGGAAGAAAAGCAGTCTTGACACATGACCCTGTGTTTTCTTCATTTCTCTTTCTTGTGACAGAAGAGCTGACATAAAGAGTGGTCAGAAGAAAGTCGTTCATTCTGCCTAAGGCCTTCAAGCTACAGTGACAGAGAAGGTGTGGCTGCAGGTGTGGCAGGCAGCAGGTCGTGATTGTACATTCATGAGTCAAGAGATGCATGCTAGGACGATACTTCTTTTGTCTTTCTCATCCAGTATAGAATGAGCTACAATAAGGGTGGATTTTTACCTCTCAATTAAACCTTTATAAAACAGCCCTCATGGATATGCCCAGGAATTTCCTTGTTAAAAGATTCCAAAGCTTATGACCAGGTTACCCATATTCAGATGACAACAATAACATAAAGTTTATACAGCAACACCTTCCCCTGCTGCCCAAAGTCTCATGTTCTTCTTTTTTTAATTAATTAACTTTTTTCATTTATTAACCATTTTCCCTTTCTCCTCTCCTCCCATTCCCTTCCCCCATCTCCTGTCTGCTCCCCCACCTCCTGGTAAGCCCCTGAATCCACTCCTCCTCTGTTTCTGTTCAGAAAGGGGAAGATCTCCAATAGGTATCCACACAGCATGGCATATCAAGTTGAGGTTGGACTAAGCTCCTCCTGCATATTAAGGCTCAGTATGAAGACTGGGATACAAAAACCTGCCAAAGTGTCAGGGACAGACCCTGCTCTCACTGCTAGGACTACCACAAGAAACCAAGCTATACATCTGTCACACATATGCTGAGTGCCTAGGTCAATCCTGTGCAGACTCCTTAGCAGTTGGGTCAGTGTCTGTGAGCTCTTATGAGCCCAGGTTAGTTGTCTCTGGGGGTTCCCTTGTGATGCCTTTGACCTTCTCATATAATCCTTCCTTCCTCTCTTCAACAGGATCCCCAGAGCTTGGTCTAGTGCTTGGCTGTGGACCTTTGCAAATGCTTCTATCAATTATTGGATGAAGGCTCTAATAACAATCAGGATAGTCACAAATCTGATAACAGGACATGGCCAGTTCAGGTTAAGTATCCACTATTGCTAGGAGTGTTAGCTGGAGTCGTCCTTGTAGATTTGCGGGAGTTTACCTTCCCAAGTTTTTACCTAACCCCAAAATGTGCCCCCATCAAGATATCTCTTTCATTACTCTCTAACTCTGTATGGCCCCCAAACTAATCCCTTGTGTTCCCATCTCCCCTGACCCCCAGTTTACCCAGGAGTCTCTTGTAATGCATCTCTTAAAATATAACCAAAGTTCCATTATTTGTTCCAAATTTGTAATAATAAAGTTCCCACTCTTAGGCATATACTCAAAGGATGCTCAATCATGCCACAAGGACATTTGTTCAACATGTTCATAGCAGCATTATTCATAAGAGCCAGAACCTGGAAACAATCCAGATGCTGCTCAACCAAAGAATGAATAAAGAAAATGTGGTACATATACACAATGGAGAATTACTCAGTTGTAAAAATCAATGACATCATGAAATTTGCAGGCAAATGAATGGAACTAGAAAATATCATCCTGAGTGAAGTGTGGGAGCCCATTTTCAGGTTCTTCATGGTTTTACCCAGCAGGTCCTCATAGAGAGGATGATTGAACTACAGGCTTGAGTGCAGGTGTCTGAGATGGTCTGCACTTGGCTATGCTGCGGGGAGGTCTTTTGCTCCAACCTCTTGGCATTTCTATAAATACCTTAGGGTAGAGTCAGTCAGGGTTCATTGGAATAGGTTCCAGGCCCTCTTGGGGGTATCCTGTATTTTCTATCTGTTTATCTACGCACTCTAAATCTTTCTATCTAATATTTCCTGCTGCTTGCATTAAAGAAAACTCTGGGGAACTGTGGGGCCAGTGGGTAAAGACCCCACAGTGAGGTAACCCAGACTCAGAAAGACAAACATGATATGTACTCACTCATAAGTACATACTACAAGTAAAGCAAAGGATAGTCAGACTACAACCCACAGCTCCAGAGAAGAAACAAGGAGGACCCTAAGAGTTATATACGGATCTCCTTGGGAAGAGGAAACAGAGGAGATCCCTATGAGTAAACTGGGGATGAGGGAGGGCAATAGAGGGTAGGGGATGTTCAAGCTTGGGCAGGGATGGAGTGAGAGAGCAATGAAAGAGATATCTTGATAGAAGGAGACATTGTGGGGTAAGGGAGAAACGTAGAGCTAGGGAAATTCCCAGGAACCCATAAAGTTGACCCCAGACTAGACTACTAGCAATAGTGTTGAGGGTGCCTAAACTGGCCTACCCTGGTAATCAGATTGGTGAACACCCTAATTGTCATCATAGAGCCTTCATCTAGTAACTGATGGAAGCAGATGCAGAGATCCACAGCCAAGCACCAGGAGGAGCTCTGAGAGTCCAGGCGAAGAGAGGAAGGAGGGATTATATGAACGATACGGGGGGTCAAGACCAGGATGGGGAAATCTACAGAGACAACTGAGCCAAGCTCAAAGGAACTCACAAACTTTAGATCGACAGCTGTGGAACCTGCATGGGACAGGACTAGACCCTTTGCATACCTGAGACAATTGTGTAACTTGGTCTGTTTGAGGGGCCCCTGGCAGTGGGATCGGGATCTATCTCTAGTGCATGAGCTGACTTTCTGAATCCCATTACTAAAGGTGGACACCTTGCTCACCCTTGATGCAGCAGAGAGGGGCTTGGTCCTGCCTCAACTGAATGTACCAGGTCTAGCTGTCCCCCCATGGGAGAACTTTCCCTGTTGGAAGAGGGGATCAGCGTTGGTCGAGGAGGGATGAGAGGGGGATCTGTGGTTGGTATGTAAAATGAAGAAAATATTAAAAAAAAAAGAAATATACCCACTCAAAGACAATATAGGAGACTGCTAGTTTAGCTGAAAATTATGTTCTTGATCACATTATAGCAATAATCACCAAATGTTTCTGTAAACAGGATATGCTTGAAATAATAGCATCAAAATTTCCTTTCACATTCCTATCTTTATCTATTATTGTATAAAACTTTTGAAATATGTATTAAAATTTATTTAATGATAAAAATAAAGTTTCTACCGCAGTTTACTCTTATTTCTTATCCTCCAGTGTTAAAAACATGTTCTATTTCCAATACACAATGGCACAGGATAAGAATTCCTGTTCAAAAAGGGAAGAATGAGGAAAAACAACAAAGACAGTAACAAAGCAGGACCAGAAGGAAGCAGAGCAAGCAAATCTGGCACCTGACATTTATAATGGACTCCTAGGGGAGACAAGGGATTTGCCTGTTCAATCCCTCCAATTCTGCCTCCTATAGCACAAGGAGCTTTTCTCTGGCCTGGATCTACCTCTGTCTCTGGGGGTTGCCTAGGTGGACATTCCCTGGATCCAGCATCCTCAGCATCCAAGAATCTCCACTGCATCCTGAGCTTTCACACACACACACACACACACACACACACACACACGCACACGCACACGCACACGCACACGATCCATCTGGACTACCCTACAGAGATTCAATTGCTCATTGCTTGGTATAATTTGTCTTACTGGGACCTTGGTGCAAATTAACATGACATCGTCAACCAACCTTGTCATTTGCTCACAGAAAAACAACATGACTTAAGAAACAATGCCAAGTATTGCTAGGAGTTAGAGAAGTAGTCAGCACCCTGCCTACCTCAGCTATACTGGCTTCAATGCACATTAGTGGGTTAACCTGAGAGGACACCTCCCTGGGGCATGGTAGTGAGGGACTTTGGAACTTTTCATTCACACACTCTCAAGTTAATCTGTTCCTTCATAGTTGGAGCTTTTTAGTGGGTGAGATCTTGGTGTCATGGCACTTTTTCCATTATATTTTTCTAGAGTTTAAAATTGATTTTTGATAGTGTCTGGGAATCACTGAAGAAAGACCCCAGACTCAAACAGTATGCAAGCACAAAGAGCATTTACTTGCAGAAATAGCGAGCGTGCAGGGTCAGTCCTCAACACACAAAATGCCTATGATGACCACAAGCAAAGGCACAGAGGCCCTTATACAGCGAGCTTGGGGAAATCAAAGTATGGTGAATGAATCTCTATTCTAATTGTGCAGTCAAAGAGCAGGCACATGGGACACATATGGATAGTGCTAGTCACTGTTTCACTCATTGTGGGCTTTTAGTCATGTATGGTCAATAACAGCATTATCCTGCAACTTGGTGTGTCCTAGCCTTATGGCCAGGTTTGAAACTGTTTAGATGATCAGCTAAACTTGGCTTCCTGGGGTCTTCCAGGACTCAGGCTTAAGTCATTATTTACAAGGTCATTGCTCTGTGTCTAAGGTGGAATTACATTACGCGGCCCCTTGAGTTTTTAATTGTACTGCAATGGTCAGCTATCCTTGGTTGTAAACTTGACCGGATCTAAACCAACTAAAGCTTATAGGTGCTTTTGTGAAGGAATTTCCTGATCAGAGTATTTGAAGTTTAGAAAGCCAGCTTATGTGTGGGCAAAAACTGCTGGAGACAGACCAAACAATAGGTCATTGAAGAAGGAAACATGGCTCTTTGTGTGATTGCCTTTAACCTTCCTAGCAAGTTCATCTATCCTGTTGCTGCTTCATTCCTTTTCTGATATCAGAATAAGCTTCTTCGGGGTTCTAACATAGAAGAATAACAGCCCCCCTAGAATCTTGTAGCTTTTCATCAATAAATTTAGATTTCTCAGTCAGTCTCGTGGACCAAGCAATTACTGGATTCTGGTCTTCAAAATGCCCCAATGGAGTTCTGTTTAGAGCATTCTCAAAGTCACAGATGCAGATTTTTCCATATTCCTCTGCAAAACCAGTTCCAAATATGAAAGATTCATGCAATCAGGTTTGTCACAGAAAAATCTCCTCTGATACTTTTCCCACTGATGTAACAATGTACTTAAAAGTACAATTTAAGGAAATGCATATTTGGTTTTTGCTGTTATTCTTGTACTTGTTTTTTTTTTGTTTGTTTGTTTGTTTGCTATTTGAAAGTAAAGACAGAGAATTTGTGATTTTGGTGTTCTTAGAGATATTACATCAAAGCATGGATCCTGGCAGCCCTCAAAGACCATCCCCATCTCTCTCCATTTGGTCAATTAAAGAGATAAATGATAGTTGAAAACATACAAAGGAGATTTGTTTAATTTGGCTATATTGGCAAAAGGACAATTAAACATATACAGTGATCCCCTAACAACTCTGAGATACCACCTTACGCCTGTCAGAATGGCTAAGATCAAAAACACTGAGAACACTTTATGCTGGAGAAGATGTGGAACTTGAGG